GCATTCCATGGGGGATATTTTTTCTTCTTAATCTGTTGTATAAGGGTGCTTATATAGTTATAATATTTCGGATAAAATCTGCTATGTAATTTATAGATGTCTTAAAAATATTTGTAATTAGTTTGTCTTTAATTTCATTTGGAAATTTTTGTGCAAGTTCTAAATTTGAATAGAAGTATCTGTTCCTTGATATATCCCATATAAGAATCTAATATTGGTTTGAAATATTTTAGTCATTTTTGCCAAAACTACTAATCAAATTTTTTATTTCTATAAATTTATTTAAATGTATAATATGTTGATTTATTGTTTTTGAAAAAAATTATACACCATCTGAATATACTACAGAAAAGTCCACGTAATGAAAACAGTGTTAACTAATTTTGAATTTTCTTAATCAGTGTAAATTATTATTTTTTTCCCAGGGAGCATAAAATATCAAAGATAGAGATTTTTGATTAATTTATGTTTTTTTTTTCGATAATCATATGTTGAGTTGTTTTGAGGAGGTGGTTGAAAAACTCTCGAAGTTAAGGAACTTCCAATGAGTCTTAAGGTGTTTTAGAGGATTTATTTGGATAAAGGTTCAATATAATCTTGAGGAGAAAAGTATATAAGATTTCTTTTAAAAATTGAATTTCATAAGTTCTATTCTTAAGAAATCTTATAGAGATATTAGAGAGAGAAACTATTGCATATATATGCATGTTATTTCAAAAGAACAAGTCTTACATTGTTTCGACAACTCAAGTATTGAGTTTTTATATATCAAAGTACTTCTAACACTTTCAAAGGGACAAACAAAAGGGTGTTGGGCTCGTGTACATGAGAATGAGCCTTATGAGCCTATTGTAATTCAAATATGTTGATTTGCTCCGATGCGTGTGCAAAAATGGAATTTAAAAATATTTTTATTTTTTATTACATTAAATTATTTTGATTAAGGCGAACCTTAATCGAAAATAACTATTTTTTATGTTTCAAATTAAGAGTTACTTCAGTCTTTAAAATTCTCGTATAACTTTATCAAATCTAATATTTTATTCTCTAAATGGTCATATTCGGATAAAGTTTATCCAATTGGTTTATGGGATAAGGTTTATCCCTTAACTTTTGAATGGTTTACGAGCTTCCGAAACTCTATAAATAGAGGCCCTTGCCACATTGTTTGATCATCCGAAAAAGCTTTCCTCTCTTCTTTCTCTCTATACTTTTTTGGTTCTCATTTTGTCACTTGCCTGAGATGATAGGCTTGCACGTATCCCATGAATAAGTTCTTGAGGTCAGTGTCATCACACGCTTATTTTTTTAGTATTCTAGGTTACCAATCAATGCGTCTGCCTGATCAAAGAACAACAGAAACTTTGGAGTGCTAATCTTTCTTCTTCTTCTTTATAGAATCACGAGTGCGTAGGATGGTTGTTGGGCGAAGATTCAAAGCTCTTAGCTGAGAATCGAAATCGTGGTGTGGTGTGAAGCTTCTTGTTGGTTAAAGCTCAACTTTCACTTCTTCTTTTTCCTTTATTTTCAATGGATTCAAGTAAGGAAAACTAGAACTAATTTATGGTTGATTTGTTAAGTTGTATGTATCTTGGATTCTTGGAATCCATGATTATGTTGATGAATTCGATGGTGGTGAGTGCGTATGGTGCATGTCGAAGGCTTTGGTGTTCTTGTGGTATGTTGGAGGTGAAATGCATGTTTTGATTTTAATGGTTGTTGCATGTTGACATTCTGAGTAGATTCATGTCATTAATGATGCATGTGTGAATGGTTGCAATGCATGTTAGTGATTTTTTTGATTTTTAGGTAGTGTGAACCAAATTCATGAGTTTGCATGCGTAGAACTCACAATTGTGTCGGAGGTGTCTTCATGGCACCAAGGGTGTTTTGTCTTGCTAAAGCTAGACGTACGCAGGATTGGTGGCATTGTTGGGGTTGCTGCATGGGTGTGGGAGATGACGAGGTTGCAGCTACCGGATTGGATGAGAAAGCCAAACCCTTACGGAAGCTTAATGAAGGTGGTTAACGATTCCACTATGAGAAGCTTCGACGCGGTGTTCAATAGCTTTCACGCCTTCGAGGGTGAGTACGAGGAGCACTACTAGAGGGTGTACGTACGGAACAAGGTGTTGGAGCTTGGGCCCGGTTTCCATGTGCCTGAACAACGATGGTTTGGACAAGGTTGGACGAGGATGTTGTGTTAAAAAAGGAGGAGAAGAAGGTTGGCATGAATGGCTTGACACAAAGAAAGAGGGTTTGGTTTTGTACGTTAGTTTTGGTAACTTGAATGGGTTTCCTTGTGTTCAGCTTGTTGAGATAGCTCATGCACTATGGTTGTGGTTATGATTTCATTTGGGTGGTGAAGAAGAATTACAATGAAGAAGGTGATGATGTTTTTATGAAGGACTCTAAGGAGAGAGCGAGAAGAAGCAACTAGGGTTACTTGATATAGGTTGGGCCCCACAGTTGTTGATATTGGAGCCTGTTGCTATTGGGGGGATGGTGAGTCATTGTGGTTGGAACACGGTTGTTGAGAGCATGAAGGTGGCTATTGGTGTGGTGAAGGGATGAGAGTTAGGGCTAGGGCTTAGTGATAAGGCTAAGAAGGCTATTCAAGTTGGTGGTTCTCATAATAATACAATGGAAGTGATTAGGGAGCGCAAGGAAATTTAAACTTCAAAGGCTCAATCGATGTTGAAGATTTTGGGAAGTTTTCACTAGGTGTGTGAGGTTTTATTGGGGAGATGGCATCAGCTATGATGCTTATCCAAGCTTTCTCCACCTAATACTTTGATTTCAACTTAGATTCTCCTCTTGCTGATGAATTATCAGGCGGTTCTAAAATGAGATAATCTCTTATTTATTTCTATACGGGATAATCAAGTGTTAATAATTATTTTTAAAATACTACTAATTTTAAATTATCTAATATTATTTTTAGTCATAATCAATCTTTAATTAGTAAGGCTAGTCTAGTAGTTAGGTAGGAGAGATTGGAGTAATTAGAAGTATGAGGACCTAGATTCAATTTTTATTGCGACCATCTTTATAATCTTTCCAATCTTTATAATTTATAACAATATGTAGAAGATATATCTTCTCCCTCAATTGTTTTTATTCTCTATTTTTAATGAGATTGTTTTGTTCTTTGCGACATCCTTAAAAAATAAATTAATGAAAATTTTGTTTTCACGTTTTAGTCTTTTAATCTTTGCGAGTTACATTTCTATTGTAAATGAAAACTTTACATTACTTATACAATTGTCTTTTTTTTCCCTCATCTCATCTCTTGCTATAGTTGATATGCAAATGTTTCTAAAGTTATATTCTTATCACAAATAAATATAAGTACGAAATATCTTGATTCCTCTAATAATTATAAAATACTATCAATTTAATTTTATTTTGTTCTATATTTTCAAATAATATAGAAAATGATTAAAAAAATATTTTCACAATTTCTTATATTAATTATTTTAAAAACTTTTTCTTAAATCAAATATATCTTAAGGAGCCTCATTTAAAAATGCTTTTTTCTTAATTTTTTATTTTCCTGTTAATTAATAATGACCCAGTAATTTCATAAGAGATTCATCTAGCAGAAGGCTTAATCATGACATCCAGTTAACTTAATTTTGCCATATCATATACAAAAGGAATACATATGCACACCACCCTTTATTTAAATACTTAGTTGGGACCTTCCAGCTGTAACAGCAACATTATCAAGAATGGATATCCTATATTAGAACTTCCACGGGTTAAACTCCAACATTAGGAGAAAGGAGCCTCGTAGATGTACAGACATTAGTATACATGTTAAGTGATGCACATAATAAGGTAAAACAGCATGACCGAAAGAAAAAATTGATATGCATTAAGAATCAATGGCTGTGTTACAAAGGTAATTTTTCACCTAGTTCACAAGACACCACATTTGTATCACTGTAATTTCACTGAAACCAACAAGCTTGAACAATTCTAGTAAAGATATCTATACATCTTCCTGTCTCTAGCATCTCTTTCCAAAAATTCCCTCTCAATGAGAGACTCAATATGTTTCTTTACAGCTGTTGGATTTGGGAGGAACCGTGACTGCAACTGCTTTGTGACCTCAGCTACGAGATTGTTATGATCAAGTAGCTTCCTTGATTTCATGATCCTTACTATGGTAGCCTCAATCAGCGGCTTCCGGTCTTCCTCCACTCGTTTTCGAGTTTCCAGTTTCTCAGGTTCTGATTCCTTTTGTGCAACTACAGTTCCTATTTTTACCTTGTATAGTTTGCTTCTGAACTTGTCATTAACAAAGAAAGCATCATCCTCACCTACATCTTTACTCATAGGCTCCTTTCTAAGTACATTTCTTTTCTTAACCAAAGCCAATGATTGCAGGCAACTCTTCAGATTCGAAGAGGGAATCTTAGTTGCTTGCTCAATTTCCTTGTAGCTTAGTCTATCAGCATTGTTAAAGAGCATGAGGACACACATTTGGTAAGTGGAGACATTTAACTGATGTTTCTGACCTTTACCAAAGGTGGCTTTTAAGTCTGCTGTGCCCATATCAGTTTGCCAGGACAATTTCCTGCCCATATGCATGCCGAGGTAATATGATTGGAACTTCTCACAAAGCTCAGACATTTCAGCTGGCAGGTTGCATGTAACAATAGATTGAGTAGGCCATACCTCCGCTGTCAAAACCTGCACAGTAAGCGTGGGACCATCTCTTAACTTGGGGTGGCTGGTATAAAAGCCCTGCATTGTGTCTCGGGAGGTTTTCATGTCTGTAAACATGCCCTCTAATTTAGAGGTGAATTGATAACCACATTCAGTCCTGAGCTTAACTATGAAACTTCTTTCTACATCATCAGAAACTGTTTTTCCATACAAAAGCCGCTTTGCCAGATGCCGTTTGTAATAACTCTCAAACTCATCTTTTTCTTGCAAGTACCGGAATAACATCATCACCTTGTCAAGAGTAATCTCTATATCATCCTCACTTACCCCCTTGAGACCTTGCCGCAGCATTGCATCTACAAATAGTGAAATGAACTCTGGAGAATGGGGATTCAAGTTGATGAAATATTCAAATGAGGATTTCAAAGCATTCTGGAAAAACTTATCCTTATTAAATGCCAAATTTATAATCTTTTCATACTTCTCTTTTTCATCTAAGAGCCTCTCCACAAATTCAACAGGATCCTTCAACCTGTCACGATCCATGACAAGCTGTTTACCAGACTCTTTGATGTGTGAAGTCATCACTTCATATATTTTGAAGAGACCGTTAGCAACACGACGGAACAATTTATACATTCTACCCAAATCTTCATATTTATCATTACAAAGCATGCTTACCAACCCAGAATCCATATGTATTAATATAAGCAGGTTATTTTCAATCATCACCTTCTCTACCACATTAGTTATTTTCTTTTCAGTCATGGGATCCAAGTAATAGCTCACTCTATCGATTTCCTGTTTCATGCGGCTCTCAGCTATCTTCAGAAAATCCCCACAAGCACAACACTCAATTAACTTCTGGGATTCTGCTTGGTAGAACTCAGCTGAAACTAGAAGAAATTGAGTCTCAAATTCTTGCCCATAAACAGAAGGACCTAAATCCATTAACATCTTTGTTATATTTCTAAACAATCCTCTGTTAATAACTTCACCTGTACGTTCACCGTACACCAATTCCAAAAGTGCATTCAACAGTCGGGTGCTTATCTGATTTGAATATATAACATTTTCTCTCCACAGGTTCAAGCCAAGTTGATCAACAGGGGTTTTCCCAGCATGTGGGATGTAAATCCTATCCATGTACATCATAATTTCTCTAATCATTTTTAAGGCCTTATTATGGTCATTCCATTTCTTGTTCATTTCTTCCAGAAAAGAACCTCCTTGAGTGGCTTCAAGAGATCTAGCTATCTCTTTGAGACGAGCAGTCATGGTTTCAACCAGCCCTGAGTATAGCTTGTCACCAAATTTGTGGAGAACCATATTATATGCATTTCTAAATCCACACAATAACCAAGCAAAAGAATTGTCAGAAACATTAAATCCATTGTCCTCGTGAATCATGAAAAAAATATATATATAAAAACAACGAATGCAATTTTGAGAACAAAAATGGATTTTCAATATGCTCAGTAGTGCCACTATAGCAGCATAAATGGCCATATTTAATGTAGCAAATTTTGTACAAACACACTGCCATGCAGATTTTGTAGCAGTCCAAGGCAGCACCAGTGCATCACACCGCTGCGCCACTATAGTGGTACTATAGCACACAATCAATAACTACGGACATGTTTTTTATTACATTATTATGTTAATTCACCACATTTACAACTGAAACTATACATTTGGAATTTGTTCTGTGTTGCTACCACTATATAATTTGCATCTTGTTCAATATTGCTAAGTTTCATGACATACAAAATCAAGGTTTCATAAATTGATGCAAATTCTGTGTTTAACTCTATATCATTCTAATTAATCAGTCGAATAATCTTTCTAATTACATATGAAGAAAGTATTAAACTTTTTGTGGGCTTCCAACATGTTAAAGACTTCAATTCTTCATTTAATTCTTTTAGTTTTATGGAAGAGAAGTGCTAAATTTTATCAAACACATCTTGAAATGGCATGCAAATGAATGTAAAAATCGAAAATTCCACAACAATTACACCTATGCATATCTTCACAAAACAAAACAAATAATTGCACAGTGGTTATCAAAGACAGACAGAATGATATCACGGGAAGACAGTTTTTCAACAAACAATAACACATAGTAAAGAATCACGAGAAAGAATGAAAGATACCTGTAAAGCACTTCATAACTGAGACCACTGATATTTTGATTGTATATCTCATGGATTGCATGTTCCAACATGGTCCATGTCTTGTCAGGATCAATGCCTTCCCGGTGCTTGAACTCTTCTAACCGAAAATTTTTCTTCTGGTCACTCATTTTCTCCTTCCAACAAAAACTCAAGTACCCACAATCCAAAAACACAACTTTCTTGAGTTTCCTCCAACTCAAATCCCAAAGCTCCCTCAAATTAAAGAAAATGAAATATCGATACTCAGTAGCAGAAATTAAGATGAAAAAAATGGATTTTGTTTTTACAAAAATGAAATTTAAGAATAATAATGAAGGTGATGAATCATTATTGGAGGGTGCTGAAGTGGTTGAGTGAAGTACAAAGCATCAGAAAAATTGAGAGGGGGATTACGAGAAGTTTCTTGAATTTCTTTGGAGTTCTATGAGGAGAAGATGATTGATCAATGATGAAGCTCTGCGAAACTTTTTTTTTTTCTTCAAACATTTCAGTTGAATATTTTAGCGGGTCTTTATAAATAAAAAGAATACGAATTTTAAGTATTGGCTCGTGTACGGACAAAGAAGTATATTTATCTATTTTAAGAAGATTAAAATTTTGTTAAAAAAATAAATATCATTTTAAATTGTTATATTAAAGAAATGTAAAAATATTTAAACAATAAATATAATATATAGATTTAGTCATTGTAAAAAAGATGATTTTGTTTTGGCCTTTGTAATTTTTTTTATTTTTTATCTTTTTAAAATTTATAAATATTTTTTTGTCCTTGTAAAATTAATGAGTAGATCTTAATTTTAATTTTTGTAAAATATTTTTTTTTCTAAAATTTAAACTCATTATTTTTAACCTCTAATGATTTGGAAATAAAGTTTACTAAGTGTAACACTGTAAGTTGTGATAATATATTATTTTTAATTATTTTATACTATTGAGTGAGTTGTCAATCAATGTTTAGAGGTTTAGGGGTCTGAAAATCCTTTAAGAGCTTTAATAGTGTTGAGAAGGGGATTCTTTTCGGCAGAAATCCAGTTTGAGTCCGAAGGGAAGAATATATAAGATTTTTGTTTAAATAGAGCCTCATAAACTTATTTCCCTCATAAGTTTAAAGAGAGGATTCTAGAGAGAAGGTTTTTGTTCCGTGAGCTTTTTTTCTCTCAATCTTCTCCTCTTCTTTTTCCAATCTTTTTTTAAGTTGTGTTGTTGTGATTCAAGTGGTGGAATCCTTGAATCAAGTTGATGATTCTATAGCAGAGTCTCGGTCTTTCTTCTCTTCTACCTTGGAGCTGAGCTACCCAAGGTAAGGGAAGCTAGATTTGAGTTTTTCCTTGTTGTATGATGGAGTTGTTGGGTGATGTTGGTACTGAACATGGTTTGGATTTTTACTTTCTTTGGCTAAGTTGATTGAATTTGGTGAAGAGATATGTGAAGGTTAGGGTTTAAGTGCATGAGGAAGAATATGATGATTTGATTTATGTTGTTGTTGCATATTGCTTTTTGTGTAGAAAATGAGTTGTTTGTGTTGAGTAAAGACATTATTCCTAATTGCATGTGTTATTAAGAATCACTTTAGCCAAAACACATATTTATATCATCAAAATTCCAAACAATATAGTTAATTACACATACTTCACTCAACATAATCAATTAGTTCATGCAATTCATATATCTAATAATTATTCCAATTTATCAAACAATTGTATGCATTTCAATTGTAGGAACAAGGTGACGCTCGATAGTGAATACCCTACACCCAACGTGGTTCAAACAGAGAGTTACTTAAATTTATTATTGGAAGGTTATGCCCAATAATGCAACCTCCCAATGCTTGACAAATTTACAACAAGGAGTCCACTAGAGCTCCCGCGTCTAGTGTGAACCTTCTCATGCTCGATGTGATTGTCACAAAGATCCTTCCACACTCTTTATCATGTATCATGCCAAACAACCTCATGTGGGGCTTAACACGGTATCAATAAAGTCTCTTTTGCAAAATAGCTCAAATTCAATCTCAAAACCAACATACGACCAAAATCATTCAAGTTCACCAATTTATCCTCCTCAAAACCAAGAACACCAAACTCAATAACATGCGATCCCATCTCAATTATTCACACAGCCATGCATCAAATATGTTTTCAAACAACACATGCATCAAAAAATCAACGCAATATGAGTTATAGCTTCCCTGACCTCAAGATCAAAGTGAATTGAGGAAGAAGAAGAAAATGGACGAGCTCCAAGTAACTGCAAGCTCTTCACCAACATCAATCCTTAGCTTCAACCACTTCAAATCACGACTTAGTTGATCAACAATGATCTTCACCTTTGGGGTGTCTATAAAGAAGAAAAAATAAGTTTGAGTTTTAGAGTCCTTCTCTCTAGTTTATGTCTCTAAGTTTTCTAAGGAATGAGTTTATGAAACTCAAGTCTCAAAATAAATCTTATATACTTCTTCCTTTAAGGTCAAATTAGACTTCTACCTATAAAAATCCTCTAAAATACCTAAAAGACTCCTTAAGAGTTCCTTAACTCTCAGAATCTCTCAACACCACACCTCAAAACACCACAACATATAATTATTGACAAAACACAATAATTAACCAAAATGTATAGTGTTATAGTTCATGTTGTTAGTATTGTTGTTGTAAAACTCAAAAGGTCAAGGGGTCCTTGAGAGTTAAGTTGTTTATGTGGTAGTTGAGTCAGAGTTAAGTTGATTCAACTTAAGGAAGAATATATAAGATTTTTCTTAAGATGTAAACTTCATAAGTTTATGTTTTAAGAAACTCTAGAGAGAAGTTAGTGAGAAGTTCTTTAGAGCTCAAGTGTTCTTCTCCATATTTATAACCTAAAATCCTTCCCTTCTTTCTTTCCTATAGTAAATATACTTGGCTAAGTTGGAGATTCGAGCTCTCGAAGTTAGAAATATCAAGTCAGAGGTCATGCGAAGTTCCTTTCTTCTATTTCTCCTCTTCACGATTGATTGACTAGAGGTAAGAGAAGTTTTGTATTTTGAATAATAGTTAACACATTATTGCTTAGAATCACTTAATTTGTAGTTGATACTAATTGAATCCATGATATGATAATTGACGAAGTTGTGGTCCTTGAAGTTGTTTGAGAGTAGAATTTGGTGGTTTTTAAAAGTGTAATGGTTGCATGTTGTTTTTGACCTTGTTTTAAAGTTGCCTATGACGCCTAGATGTAGAATTATGTGTTGCACGTTGGTGGATTTCAAGTTTTCAGGTGGGTTTGGACAATTTGTGTGAGGTCCCTGGTCTTTTCTTTCCTTTTTCCCGAACTCTCACTCACTCTCATACTTTTCTTCCCCAAATCCCCTGCTCATTTCTGATTCCTTGTGGTGATCTTCTTGAGCTTAGGTGCTGAGTAGTAGCTTTTGGAGCTAGCTGTGGGCGTGAAGCTTGTTCTTCTTCTCCGGTCGTCGTTCTTCTTCTCCATTTCTCTTCTTTCTTCCTTGTCATTTCCCGAAGCTCGGAGCCGTTGAACCGAGGTAAGGGAAGCTAGGTTTTGCTGAGTTTTTGGTTTAAAGAGAGTTCTAAGAACTCCTTAGCTGTTTGATGTTTGGTGATTTTTGGTTGAGAATGATGAAATTAAGGTTTTCGGGATTTCGGAGTAATATTGAAAATTTGGGGTTTTGATGTTTTCATGGTTGCATATTGAAAAAGAATTGATTTTTTGGGTTGTTGGATGAAAATGGGGTGTTTTGGGTGGATTGCATGTGCTTGGATTTCTTATTTTTGCAGGATTGTTGTTCAAAAATGGTGGAGGGATTGTGTTTGCTGTCACAAACGGCTGAGCCGTTTTGAACGGCTGAGCCCTTTGGGAGTTTCGTGACAGGAAAGAGTTTATGGAACCAAACAGCTGAGCCGTTTTAAAGCGCTGAGCGCTTTGGGGGCAGAGAGCTAGAGGAGAATCTTTGGAGGTAAAGCGCTGAGCGCTTTTGAGGCGCTGAGCGCATTTGTGCTTTCAGAATTGGACTTTGTAGTCTTCTTGAAAGTTGTAGCCTTGGATATTAGTTTTCCAATGGCGCTGGAATCACCCAAAAAGGAGTTCTAGAACTCCAGATATGGTTGGTTTAGTGAAGAGGGGTCAAGCTGGCAGCCTTGGGTAAGTTGTTTTAGGTGCTTAGGTTGATTGGTGTTGTTTGAGTGGGTAATTTTGCATGATTGATGAGTTGTAAACAAGACGGGTGGGTCGTATTATATGTTGTATGTTGTAAAGTTATTGATCATGCTATTAATAATGTTTGAGTTGAATTAAAATAGGCGAATATGATGTGATGATTAGTGGATAATACTGTTGCTGATGTTGAGTTGTATCAGTTGTATATTGTTGTAAGTTATTATGTTGAGTTGTATCACTTGTACATTATTGTAAGATGATATGTTGAGCTGTACAATGGTGTTGTACTGTGTGTTGATATTAGATGTTGTAGGCCGAAAGACTGAGGTGTTGTAGGCCGAAAGGCTGAGGTGTTGTAGGCCGAAAGGCTGAGGTGTTGTAGGAGATCTCCGAGGTGATATGCGTGACGACGCATTTTGTGTGTATTGATAAACTGTGTGGTAATAACTGACAGGATGTTTATGGATGAATTGTTGATGGTTGTAATTGCTGTTATTACTTAAAAAATTTCCTATATCTTGTTCTTTTTATACTAGCTTACCCTTGTTGTTTCCATGTGTTTGGACTGCGATGATCATACTTGTATGGGAGCAGAGCAGGGCTAGATTTGTGATAGGAGCAAGCTTATAGCTGGCAGAGGACGGGGAGTCTTAACTGACTGATGTTTTGGATGTTAAGCCACTATCTGGCTATTTTGGATTGTATTTTATATTATACGCCCTAACTCTAGTCGGATTGGAACATTTGTATATATTTATATTCTAGATCCTATATTTATATACTCGTTCTATTCTGTCTAGTGTTTCCGGTGTGCTGCGGTTATGAGTGTGGTGACCTGCCGGGTCGTTACAATTTGAGCTTTTGCCAAGTGTAGAACTCATCATCATGGTAGACGTGTCTTCAGAGCATCAAGCGTGACTCAAGGTCAAGGGTTCTCATTCTCATGATGTCAAACACAAGATTGGTGGTGTCGGGTGTGAGGAGAGAAAATCATCTTTAACTTGGTCATGTCGGGTGTTAAGTTTAATGACATTGAGTATAAGGAGAGAGAATCATTTATGGATAAATTGACATCAGGCACCAATAGAGTAACATCAGGCAAGAGTCAGGTAAAGACCCTCTACGTAAGGATGGCAA